AATTGTGGCTTTGGGACTGAATGTCAGCAATATGCAGACAGCACCTTTACATCTCTCTATCCAAATCCCCTGGTGATGCAGTGGATGTCTTGAGCCACTGCCTGACTGCGGTTGTGAAAAGGCTGAAAACAAATAAATCGAAAGAGAGCCCAGACATGATGAAAAAAGGAACTACACAGATTTTTCAGGAGGAGGTTGTTTTGTAATGCCAAAAAATCCTGGATTTGGGTAACCATTCAAGACATCATAATAATGACCCAAAACATATATATTTTTTGGATCAGGAATTCCGGAATGCACACTGTTGGGGAAATGAGAGATGCAGGATCCTTTTCATGCATCCTCATTCCCACTGTGTTCAATTTTGGGAGGGAGAGAAGCTGGCTTCCCAGTTGCATCAAGAGAGACAGTTGTTCTAAATCAAGAATCAATTTATTCCATTACACATTCTTAGGTCAGAAAACATTTTTGTATTCAACATAGAATATTTCAACACAATCCCAATACATAAATAGTGCACTTCTAATTCTATAAAGGATATACTTGGTTGTTCTAAAAAGGTAAAGGTTCCCTTGCTCGAAAGCCAGTCGAATCCGACTCTAGGGTTGCGGTGCTCATCTCCGTTTCAAAGCCGAAGAGCCAGCGCTGTCCGAAGACGTTTCCGTGGTCATGTGGCCGGCATGACTAAACACCAAGGCGCATGGAACGCTGTTACCTTCCCACCAAAGTGGTACCTATTTATCTACTTGCAATTTCTTGCTTTCGAACTGCTAGGTTGGCAGGAGCTGGAACTAGAGACAGGAGCTCACTCCATCATGCGGCACCCGGGTCTCGAACTGCTGAACTACTGACCTTCCATAGCCTGCAGTTCAGCGTCTTAACCACTTGAGCCACCGCAGCTCCTACCAAGATCCATAACTGTGGGTAGTTGATCAGAACAACTAGGAACAAGACTAAAATCAGACATTAAGTACCCTCTTTCACCCACTGAAGCTAATATAACTATCACTCAAGTCTGTGGCGAGCATTTGACATTTATCTGACATATACAACAAAGTCAGCCCTTTCTTTCTATCTCTGGGGTCAAGAAAGTCAAGAAAAGCTGTGTTGAGCCAGGGTGACTCATAGAATCAAGGAAGCTAGTTTCTGATACTCTTATCTATTTAACATTTGATAGTGACTACTGGCCACTGTAAAATATACTCATTCCCAGTAAGAAAAAGTCACATGAGGCAAAGTCTTGTCCAGTGAAGGCCACACACAGCATACAGCAGCAGCCTGAAACTTCCTGGAAGCAGAACAGAACCAAAGTTCCAACTATATAGGCTAACTATTATAGATATTAAAGTATTATAGGTGTACCAGAGGTTTTGCAGAGTTTTAGCAGATGACTGAGACTTAATCCAGCCCTAATTCTGCAACACCCCCCCCCAGAGACCATTTCCCCTGGAGAAAAAGGCTGCTTTGGAGAATGAACTATAGCATTACACTTTGCTAACCATAATTCAGGCTCCCCCTCCCCCCTCCAAATCTCCAGGAATTTCCCAATCCAGAGGGTGGGCTCCATCGCATTATGCCCAGCTGTCCCTCACCTCCTCAGGCTCCACCTCCAAATTTCCAGGAATTTCCCAACACAGATTAAGCAACCCTATGATGGAGCCATCTTTTTTTTAAAAAAATACTAGAAGTCATGCTATATGAAAATGCTGCTTTATTTAAAAAAAAACACCAAACATTTACAGTTAATTACAGTATCTTAATATTTTACAAAAGTAAGTCGTAGGCATTTATACAGCTGGTTATGTACAACTTAATTCTGCCAGGCAGCCCTTGAGCTTGTTAAGAGATGCTCAGACACACAAAGTTACAATTGGAACCTTTTTGCATGGGGTTAGAAGTACAATGTACACAGAGTGCGCTCTCTTCCCACTTTCAAAAAGACTGTTAAATGGTGGTTACTTAAAATCACAATGGCTCTGTGCAAAATGCAGGTTGTATTGGTTCCAGGAGGAGTCTTGAGATAATAAGGTGTTAGAATTTGTTTCTAAGCCAAGGCAGACAGCTCTTTTAGCCAAGTAACAAAGTCTGTAGGGTTTTTCTTCTGTACAGAAAATGCAATGCTGTTGATCCCTTTATGGTATCCTGTGCCAGGCCTGTTGTATGAAATTCAGACCTCCCTGGCAATTTTCCAGGGAGAATCCAAGACTTGTTTTTCTGCCACAATTTCCTGTTAACTGCGCTGGGTGATCCTTTTAGTAACCTGCATTACATCCAACTTCCACCTCCCTGCCCTAGATCTTCCTAAAACATTTGAAATTCCCCTTTGCCTTTCAAGAGGAACAGATTGTATTACCTGAGTACAAAGGACATATGTGCTTTCTCACCAAGTTAACCATCTGCAGAATAAGACGTGGAAACATTTTGTTAACTAGAACTTTTTTAATATGGGGGGACCTTTCCTACCCTGGGCACAGATACTTCCCAACCAGACATTAACTTACAAGTTCAACATAGTAACGCCGACCTACCCTGATATGTTTGTTCTTTCTTTTTTAAAAAGGAAGAAAAGTACAGTATAGTTGACTAGGAAAAAGGCACCCTTGAAACGGCTTTATTCAAGTAAGGCAGTGATCTTTAAAAGACCTCAGCATTACTCACACTTCTCAGTTGGGTATGATTTATTTACAGGAAAAAGTAGGTACCATACTCATCCCATCTCACCTGTGAAACTAAATAAAGCTTGTGGGGAGGGGGACAGCTTTCAGCAGAGAACCAGTATAGAGAGAAAGGGTTAAAAACTCCCTCTTCGCATTAGTTTTTCCAATTGAAAAAACAACCACCATTCTGAAGGTATTAGTAATGAACCTTGAACTTCCAAGTCTCATTTGGCCTATGGGGTACAAGGAACTGTAAAGACAGTCCTCATGCAGCTCTGCACTGTGGCTGCATTAGCTGATACCTGCAGCTGCTATTCCTTCCCAGACTTTGATTGTCTCACTTGCTATGGCTCTATCTGTGCTGTTCTGCCAGGCAACTGTAGGGTTGCCAAGTCGCGGTGGGAGATTGTATGTCTTAGCAGAATCCGTGCCGTGGGGACGGCGAGATGTGTTGCACCCGCCGTCGCCAGGATGTGACGCTAGACATCGCTCTGGCAACGGGGCAAGCGGCTTACAATTAAATTCCCTTCCTCTTCCCACAACAGACATCCTGCAAGGTAAATGGAGCTGAGAGAGCTTTGAGAGAGAACTGTGACTGACCCAAGGTCACCCTGCTGGCTTCATGTGGAGGAGTGGGGAATCAAACCCAGTTCTCCAGATTAGAGTCTGCAGCTCTTAACCACTACACCAGACTACACCACACTGACTCTCAAACCAAGCATAAGCAATACAACCAATGTTCCCTCTAAGCCGTGGAGTCTCATGAGCAAAAATTCTCCTTTGTGAGCTACTGGCATTAAAGTTGTGAGCGAGCAATTTGGCTACTGCATAAGTTAGTTTGCTCTGGAGCCCTCCTTCCTGAGCGAAGACAAAAATGTCTGAGCTAGAGGCTAAAAAACTGTGAGCTAGCTCACACTAACTCAGCTTAGAGGGAACACTGAATACAACCAGAGAAAAATGGTGCCGTAACTGCACTATTATTAGTCCTATGGCTGCTAAATTTGGCCAGGATTTGCCCCTTTCCTGCAGATGTGGAGCATACTTGTCACCGGGAGGCTACCATTCAGAAGCAGTGGCAAGGATGAGAGCCTTCGGCCGGATCCAGGTTACACCTATGCAACAGAAGAAGCTGCAAGGGTTGTTTGTTTATTTATTTCATCTACAAAGCAAAGTGCTAGATTTGTCTTGACCCACAGCAAGAATACATCCTGTCTTCTTCTAGCCATGACAATTTGATAAAGCAGCATAAACAACAGCAATGAACCAATCAGAGCCAACAAATACTGAGAAATCCAGAAGCATAGAATGTGCTACTGTGTTCGTAAAGGGACAGGGCACCCCACAAATGGACTACACTTACGGCAATAGTGTTTTCCATTCTTGCCTGTTCTATACAAAGAGGTATTTGGGTTAATTTTTGACATGTATATATGCCATCTCATTGAGAGCATTTAGCTACTTCTCATTCCCTGCTCCCAGTTGGTCCTTCAGTCCAATTCAGTGCATATCAGCAGGTAATTGGTAAGAAGCACAGGCCCATACATTCTGCTTCCAAATTCTACTTCCTGAGACTGGGCCTTCAAGAGATTATACCTGAATCAAACCCAGGATGCAAAAGGTGCCAGCAATTGCGGGTTGCAAAGAAAACATAAGCACAACATTCCTGTTCAGCTTGCAGTCTTTTTTTTTTTCTTTCCCAGCTTGCAGTCTTAAAGTGCAGTCCCCATTATTCACATGGGCGGATTTGTAGAGTGATGAGTAATACTCAGGACCAAGCCAAGTGTGATTATGGGAGATAAATAACAGTAGACAAGATTCCAGTTGAGGCCTTGAGAAGGTGAGAATTCAGCTTCTCCTTCCTTAATTTAAATGGCTCTCCAAGCTGCTATTTGCTCCACTGGGGGAACATAGATGCAATGAGTTGGGTACCTGTATGCTTTCCCCAAACAGGACAAATAGCAACTCCAAGGGGTGGTGATCTCCAATGAAGAAGTGGTGCTGGGGGGGGGGGTAGTGAGTTAGACACCCTGATTTCATTCCCTCCCCCTGCTGCCCCACTGTGTGGCTGCTCCTTACCAAAAAGTGTTTTAGACACCCAATTAGTCTTGTCTAGTTTGGCCCTCAGAGTAAGCATGCCCCATGGAAATGGGAGGAGACCCCTGCCAGTTCTCTCAACCCACCAATCAAATTCCTCTGCATGTAGACCCACGGTGGTCAGCCAAGCCCCCACCTCTTTCCTGTGCCATCAACTACTTGATCCAATATCTGCAAACTTAGGGAACACTCTTAGGGAGCTGAATAGCATTGCTTCCACTTCAGAAAAGCTCTTCTGGTCCAGGGGCTCAAGTGCTGCTTTCCCAAATCTAGGGGGATTACACTGCCTTGTGCCCGCTGCTGCCAAAGCATCCTACCTGGGAAATGTCACCATATTTCCCTCTTGCATGCAATGCTTGCCAACTACTCCTGGTTCATGTGGTATCTGGCAGCAACATGAAAAAGCACTGGAAGCCGGTCATTTGCTTCATCCTTGCTGCTTTCCTTAGGATAGTGCCCCGTTGAAAGTGGCAATAGGCAAGCACAGAAGAGAGCAGAAATCAGAGGCATCTTGGGTAGGGAGAAGAGAAGTGGGCCTTCCTCCAAAGTAGGGCTCATTGATCTTGGGTTTGTAGCACGCTGTGATTTCACACCTACAAAAGCAGCAAAACAGAAATGACAGCAATGTCATGGGTTGATCTAAAGAGGAGAACGCACGAAAAAGTGCAGAAGTTACATTCTTGACACTAGATGACTAATCAACAGCAAAAGCACATTGTTTCAGCAACAGCCAGGCATCTTAGTGCAGTGATCCATATAGGGATGATACAAGACATTTTCCTTTGCCCCAGTACCAGCAGGATGATTGCAGGGATGTGAGCTCTTGCTTGGAACATCTAGGTTCAGTAGCTATACAATGACTACTCACTATGCAGGGGCTCATCCTGGTGGTTCTTACATTTGCATCAGGAGTCCTGATCACCCCCACAACCTATATTTTGGTCTTCTCTAGCACAAAAGGCTAATAAGGGCCTGTTTAGACTCTGTGGATCCTCACAGGTGCATCCTGGGAGAAAAGATTACTAACTTTCCCTGGTGTATTCCTAGGGTTGCCAGCCCCCAGGTCCAGGTGGGGGTTCCCCTGCTTTTGGGGGCTTCAATCCATCCCCAGCCCACTGGCTGGTGAGGGAAGCCCCGCCCCAAGCCTCATCACCAAGTTCTGCCACCAAGCATGACACCTGCCCTACCACCCCTCTTTCTCCCCTCCTGCCAGATTTAAAGGGCTTCAGCTGATCGGTGGGGACCACGTAGCCTGCTGACCAGCTGGAGAGCCCTTTAAATCTAGTAGGAGGGAGGGAGAGGGGTGGTTGCGGGCTGCACGCTCGGCTCAGAAAAATAACTTTTTAAAGGGTCTTTTTGCAAGCAAGGTGGAGGCCGTGGGGCTGATCCCCCATGGGGTGGCTGGGTGGTGGCCACACTTGGGGGTGGGGCTTGGGGGCATCCCTGCCCACCCCCAGAACACCCCCCAAATTCCCCCGCTGGAGCCAAGAGGGGACCTGGCAACCCTATGTATATATGCCTATGTATTTCTTATGTTTCTTATTATGCACTGTACCACCAGGAATGCAGGAAGTCAATCCTGTAAGATTTAGAGAGGAGACTGATCCATAGTTGAGGTTGCCATCCTCCCACTCTAGTCTGGAAATTTCCTATAGTTACAACTGATCTCCAGGCTACAGATTCAGTTCCATGAAGAAAATGGCTGTTGAACTCTATGGCATTATACCCCCAACTGGGGTTCTTCCCCTCCCCCAAAACCTGCTCTCCCCAGGCTTCACCCTAAATATCCAACATGGAGTTGGCGGCACCTCCAAGACTTAACATAGATGACTTTCAGGCAACAGCTAGTGTAAACAGCAGAAGGAGAGGCTACTTTCTCTCTCTCCCCTACCTGGTGACACTCTGCAGAATCTTCCGCTCGTCCTGGTCCAGGCACACAGCAAAGGAACAGTTGACCCCCGAGATCTGAGCTTTGTCCACTTTTATCTGAGACACGCTAATCTGTTGCAAGACAAAAAATCCCACAGTCAGCTAGACCTTTCTAGGAGTCTAACAAAATATATGCCGCCAAAGTGCAGGGGTGGCCGGAGGAGGTCCTGATAGAGCAATACTGGTCAGCCTCAACCATCAAGTTTGGGGAAGATTCTCACCACAGGGAACCCACTCACCATGGCTGGCTGGATAAGAGATGCCAGTGACGCCAGCGATGAGGAGAACTGCCTCAACGTGATCAAGACGTGCATGCTGAAATCGGCTCCGAAGATGCCGGGGAGTGTGGCGAGAAGCCAGCGACCCAAGCCAAAAGACACCACGAGAGAACAACGGATGAAGCAAGGGGTGTGCCTATGCTGCGGGGAGCTGGGCCACTGTGCTACCTTCTGCCCAGCTACTCTGCCATCCCTGGGGGGGGGGGAAACACCCGAGAGGTACGGTTCCAACACATGCAGCCCAAGCAACCGAGGGCCCTCCAGCTGAACACAATTCCGGATGGGGCTTCCTCCAGTAGCGATGAAGCGGTCCAGCTGGCAGGAAAAGGATGGGAACCACTCAGCAGGTCCGAAAGCTGCTGGTGCCACGTTCAGTGAGCAGTACCCCCCCCCCGTGTCAGTAGTTAATCCCAAAATGGGCACCCAAGTGAGGGTGAGGGCCTTAATAGACTCCGGGTGTGCTAGAGACTTCATCAGCCTGGCCAGTTGCGGTACAGACTCTACCAGAACCGCTCGTCTTTACCCAAATGGATGGCTCCCCTATGAAGGAGGTGTGCAAGTACTAGACTGTGCCAGTGATTGTGGGTATGGGGCCGCACTGGGAACAACAGTCCTTTCTTATTAATCCCATGGCCAGGTTTTCCATGGTGCTGGGCCCCTGTCCTCTTCTGGAAAAAGAAGGATGGGGGATTTATTTATTTATTTTATTCAATTTATACCCCGCCCTCCCCACAATGCGGGCTCAGGGCGGCTTACATAGGGGCAAATGCCAATATAAAACATAATTAAAACCATTTAAAATCCCAACAGTACAAAACATTCGAGTTATTGACTAAAGTGCTCTAGGTGTTCAACATGACTTTGTACAGATTACAGGGGCCTGAATGCAGTATCCACCATGAATGCTGTGAGGAAACGGGGACCCACCCTCAGCCCTGGGAGTCTGAATAGCTGTTCTGTGACTCGCAAGCCCCTGTTTTTGCCTGCCCACCCTGCCTGGTGGGGCTATTTCCTTCCTCTATTGCTGCCACCACTCACTGAATTGACTCACTAGCCTGGCTGCCACGGGAGTGGGGCGACTCTGGAATGTTAGGTTTCATTTCTGCTGTGTCTTCTGTGTTTCTATTATCCCTGTGTGACCTTCAGCGCCTGGTGTAGTCTTTCTCCTGGGAAAAGTAGCCCGTTACTTTGGCGGGCTTCTACCTGATCCCTGATTGGTCCTAGGCCATCAGGGGCCTCCTTGAATAATGTATATCTGCTTGCTGCATGCTTTTCTTCAGTTCTAACATGAAATAGAAGATAGCTGCATACTCTCAATGTCTCTATAAACTTTACTTCTTTGAATGAAAGCTGTTGGTAACTGATTGCTGCAGGAGTCTGACACCCACATCACACATGGTGACGGAAATGCATGGGCATCACACCCGTAGGTAGGAATTTGTTTTGGGGGGTGCTGTGCGGGGAGCTAATTTAATTAATGGAACTAATTAAATTAGCTTCATTAATTAAATTAAGGTAGCTGGGAAGGGAGAGGGGCAGACTTGCCAGATCTTCCTGCTTCTGCAGCCAGCTTCTCGAAGTCCCTCGCCCTCCTTTCCTGGCAAGGAAGCATCAGGAAGAGCCATGGGTGTGCGTGGTCCTGCATTTCTGCCTAGGAAGTGCTAAGTTTTCCTCCTATGATATTTGAGTCCAGGGCTTGCAATGCAGTGGATAAGGGAAAAGCAGGATTTTGCTTGTTTATTTTAAGTAGAGGAAATCTGCAGGTGCTCCTTTTTTTGGTAGGGGAAAGCCTTACTGGTTGAATTATCCCCTGTTGAAAGGCTCAGGAGCCTGGGCAGGTATCCACCAGGGCAAACCTCCACCCCTCTCTGGAGCTAACATGGCTCTGATTCCTGATGGTATCCATCCACTGGCATGGAGAGTGGTGCGCAAAAGTGCCCACCTGTGCCCTAGGTGCTTCCTTGCCAAGGAGGAGGTGGCACTCCGGTTGCCCTCAGCCGGCTGTGCCTATCACCTGCCAAGCTGGCCCCTTTTGTGGTTGGGCTGCGAAGCAAATGCAGAACAACCAAGCCCATTCTTCAAAATGACCCACCCATCCTTGCCATGTGGATTTAAGGGGGCAGGTTACGCATTCTGGAAATCCTGTGCTCTTTGATGATGCCCGTAAAAGATCAGCTCCCTGGCCTCACATGGGGGCACACCGCTTTTCTTCATGGGGGGCTTTGTTATAGCGGGCACCCCTGATGTGCTGGCTACAGTCCTGATGGGCATTAAAATAATCTCCCCTCCCAACAAGAGACCAGGATAAATTCAGAAGGTGAAACTGTGGGTCAGCCAGGTTACCTGATTGAAACTCTTCTTGGATTTGGAGCTTTGCCTTTTGATTACTTCTGTCACAGTGAGTGTCAAACATTCTGTTTTGGAATCTGGAACACAAAGGGAAGAACACTGTAACAGGAGACACCTCAAGAAAACACTATATTAGTGGCATATGTTAGGATCTGAACATAAGAACATAAGAGAGGCCAATGTTGAATCAGGCCAAAGGCCCATCCAGTCCAACACTCTCTCACACAGTGTCCAAAAATACCAGTGCCATCAGGAGGTCCACCAGTGGGGCCAGGACATTAGAAGCCCTCCCACTGTTGACCCCCCCCCCCAAGCACCAAGAAGACAGAGCATCACTTGCCCCAGAGTCCCTATCTATACCTTGTGGCTAATAGCCACCAATGGACCTCTGCTCCATATGTTTATCTAATTCCTTTTTGAAGCCGTCGATGCTTGTAGCTGCCACCACTTCCTGTGGCAGTGAATTCCATGTGCTAATCACTCTTTGGGTGAAGAAGTACTTCCTTTTATCTGCTCTAACCCGACCGCTCAGCAATTTCATTGAGTGCCCACGAGTTCTTGTATTGTGAGAAAGGGAGAAAAGTACCTCTCTCTCTACCTGCTCTATCCCATGCATAATCTTATAAACCTCAATCATGTCACCTCTCAGTCGTCGTTTCTCCAAGCTAAAGAGCCCTAAGCGCTTTAACCTTTCCTCATAGGAAAAGTGTTCCAACCCTTTTAACATTCGAGTTGCCCTTTTCTGCACTTTTTCCAAAGCTATAATATCCTTTTTAAGGTGTGGTGACCAGAACTGCACACAGTATTCCAAATGAGGTCACACCATTGATTTATATAAGGGCATTACGATATTGGCTGATCTGTTTTCAATACCCTTCCTAATAATCCCCAGCATAGCATTGGCCTTCTTTATTACAGTCACACACTGTCTCGACATTTTCAGTGAGTTATCTACTACAACTCCAAGATCTGTCTCTTGATCAGTCTCTGCCAGTTCAGACCCCATCAATGTGTATTTATATTTAGGATTTATGGCTCCAATGTGCATCTCCTTGCATTTGGCCACATTGAACCCCATTTGCCATGTTGACACCCACTTGTCCATCCTTGACAGATCCCTTTGGAGTGCCTCACAATCCTCACTGGTTTTCACCACCCTGAACAACTTCATATCATCCGCAAATTTAGCCACTTCACTGCTTACTCTCAACTCCAAATCATGAATGACTCCAAATCGTTAATGAACTCTGGTGTCGTGGTTAGTGTTGAATTAGGATCTGGAAGAGCCAAGGAGGAGGTTCAAATCTCCAACATGATTCTCATTGGGTAACCTTGGGCTGGTCATACTAGCAGTCCCTTATAGGGTTATTTTGGAGATAAACTATGCTGCCCTGAGCTCCTTAGAGGAAGGGCACAATAAAAATGCATACATCTGCAAGATTAGCATTGCCAAGCTGCAGTCCCCCACTTGGGAGGAACTGGGGGGGGACACTTTAGCATTCTGTAAATGCTAGAGAGTCCCATGTCACTGCTTGTTTAAACCAGAAGTGACACAGGCATGCCAGTGAAACACTGGTGTGCCATGCCTTTCCTATTTTCCCTCCCCTCAGTTCCTCTTGCCAGTGCTTGAAAGAGGCATCAAAGGGGGCCTCTTGCTATAGCTGGAGACTTGGCATCTCTAAGAGAGATAGGTCTGCATTGTGTTACCCTATTGTTCCCACACATCAAAGCACACCATGCAGCAACCTTGCTGCTGCTCTACAGATATGGGTCTTATTGCTCTGGGTCCCCTCTGTGGAGAAACGTGGTGCATACATGAAGTAAATAAATAAATATGTGGTCTGTGCCTGGATAAGAGACATCCTGGAACCCTACTTAGATTACTTTGAATTCTGTGACTAAACACCAAGGTGCACGGAACGCTGTTACCAATGCGTTTATACCAAATCGTTAATATGTACTAAAAGGATACCATTGTGCATACTCTACATGATATATAATTGTTGTTGAATGTGTATGTTGATGTTATTTGTTATATATGATAAAATTTAATAAAAATTTAAATAAAATAAAAAGTGAAAATGCTTTTCTACACTATGATTCCAAAATGGGTCTCACCACTAGAAGTGTTTACTAAACCAAATCTATTTTCAAAGAATTTCTTGTTAAAATACAAAGACCTCTTGGATAATAAAAACAAATTAAAACCAATAGAAAATATTAAAAGATTAAAACCTGATCTAAGTTGGTGGGAAATAGCACAAATAGAATCAAGGTATAGTACAAATAGAATCAGGGTACACTAAAGATAAAACAACAGGTTTTTGTTCCAAAGCAATGGAAATAGATAAGATATTGTTGTATTCTGAGGAAAAATTGATTAAAAAACTGTATGTAATAATGTTGGAAAACAAGGCACAAGATGAAATAGTTAAAAATTCTATGATCAAATGGGCACAAATGGGCACAATATTGGTTTAGACCAATGGTTACAGGTATGGAAAACAAATGTAACAATTACTAAAGCAACTGCATATAAAGAAAATAGTTACAAAATGTTTTATAGATGATATATAACTCCAGATAAACTAGCCAAATTTTATCCTGATTTACCTAATGATTGTTGGAAATGTAAAAAGATTGTTGGCTCATTTTCCCATATGTGGTGGACATCAGATATAGTTAAAAAATATTGGTCTTGGATTCATGAAATGTTACAAAAATGCCAGAATGTACCATACCTTTTACACCTGAATTATTTTTATTGAATATGAGACCAGAAAATTGTAAAAAACAAGTTTTATCTTATTAGACATGTATTGACCACTGCAAGAATATTGTATGCTAAATACTGGAGAAAAGATGAAGTACCTTCAAAAGAAATAAAAATGGAGGTAAAATCTTGCTGCTGAGGGAAAGGCTATCATAACATGCACAGCAGATGTTGAATGGAAAAAAAACTTGGGAGGGAGTTAAACCTAGTGCTCTTTTATCAGTAGCTATTTTGGTTACATCCATCTGTAGCTATTTGGTTACATCCATCAGTAGCTATTTTGGTTACATCCATCTTCCATCTCTCTGCCCAGCTTGTTCCATTCTCCCCACAGGCAAATGCAGGATCCCTCTCTTTCCTTGGCCCTGACCTGGATGGCCCAGACTAGCTCAGTGTCGCCAGATCTTGGAAGCTAAGCAGGGCTGGCTGGCCCTGTTTAGTATTTGCATGAGAGACCACCAAGGAAGTCCAGGGTTGCTAAGCAGAGACGGGCAATAGCAAACCACCTTTGAACGTCTCTTGCCCTGAAAGCCCCACGGGGTCGCCATAAGTCAGCTGTGACTTGATGGCACATTACACACATGCTTCCCCTGTCTTCTGTTTGCACAGAGAAGGTAAAATTGCTGCCAGCGCTTACCAAGGTCTTCTTGCCTGTTACAGAACTTGCTGAGGTTGATGGACGTGCAGACTTTCTCGGTGTCATTCCAGTGGTTCCTTCCACTGACTGCTCTCTAATAGGACCAGAAATAGGTTACTCTCCAGGTGATGACAAGGTGTGTGTGTGTTCTTTTCCCTCCCCTTCATGAAACAGAGCTCAAAGTAACGGCTCTGCAACAATGCTACTCTAACCCCAGTTTCCAAGCATTTCCAAGCGTGCCCCCAAAGCAAAGCAAGAGAGCTGGACTCTAATCATTTTTAAATTCTCTTAACTGTGCTTCTCTTGAACAGAATCTACCTTTCCAGCATGGCGAAACCCTTGGATCCAGACATTGAACATTTCAGTTACCTTGCTATAGGTGATCTGTAGTGTTAGCGGGATTGCTTCTCTGTCTCCATCAATGCCCAGCCGTTTGCTACCTGGACCTGCATAAAAAGGAGAAGGAGATTCCCTTGGCTGCTGGATTCATGTTTCAAGTCCCTATAAAGTGCAGCTTCTCTTATCGTACAAGATTTCCTAGGGCATGAGCAAGAGCTCTCAGGGCACAAAGACCATCTGCAAAAAGCAAACTGATTCATATCAGAGCCATAGAGGAAACCAAGAGAGAGCTGAAGGATTAAATTCTTTCTTTATTCTTTACATAGCCCTGAACACTTGAAGTTCACCTCTTAAAGGCATATGGAGACCCACGATCTTTGTGAAGTCCATTTTGGCCTTTTAGAGTCAGATGTACCATGATGATGATGCACATCAGGTTCCTCACCTATTGAGCCAGCACGGCTTCACTACTGAACTGACAGGGATGCCTATCAATGAATTACACTGCCTGTGCCAGCTATTTCAGTTCTCTCATGCCCACACAAAGAGAGATGCATTTCCAAGGAACACCCATCCATCCACTGACATGACTGCAATTACTGCAAGCAAGAAATAAATAACAAGGTCTTCCACCGCATAGTTCTCTCTAAAGTGCACTAGGGGGCAGTGGTGCACAAAAGTTTAGATGCCAGCTCAGGGATTTCTGCTTCTGCACACAAAGTTCCCCCCCTCCATTGGAAACAATGGAGGATGGGGGCACCTCCTTTTGGGGCCCATAGAATTGTCAATAGGTCCCATCGGCCATAATGGAGAATTGATCTGGGGGGTATCTGGGGCTCAAGGGGGCTGGTGTTTTTTTTTAGGTAGAGGCACAAAAACAAAGGGAAGGGGACAGAGCTCGGCCACCTTCCAGCCTGCACCTCATCCAAAGGTGGCGGTCAGTGGGGCTAGGAGGAATAACCCCTCTCCGACACTGGTGTTGTGCAATGCCAGGTCCATAAACAACAAGATCGCAATTCTGCGAGACTTCCTTCTGGAGCAACATGTGGACCTGGCTTGCATGACGGAGACCTGGGTCCAAGACCTGGTGGAGGCTGTGTCTGGCTGGGCATTGGAGTACCCTCGACTGATAGTCTTGGGTGACTTCAATGTCCATGCCAATGATGCAGCCTCTCCAATGGCGATGGACCTGGTGTCGTCCATGGTGGCACTGGGACTCTCCCAATATGTAACAGCTCCCACCCACAGAGCCAGTCACATGCTTGATTTGATCTTCGTGGCGGAGGTTATAGTGGACCGGATTATTGCTATGGCCTGTGTGAATGTGGCACCCCAACCCTGTTTGGGCGGCGAGCATATTTTGGCTCGCCCGCGGAGCCAAATGCACCCTTAGTGGCTTCAGATGGCTCTACAGGATCCTATGCCTCCTGGCGGCTCGTTAGATGAGCTAGTTGAGGACTGGCATGGCCGACTCTCGACTGCCATCAACAAGATCGCCCCCCCGACACCCTCTGCGCCCTCGCTCTAAGCAGGCTCCTTGGTTTACCGTGGAGCTGCAGCTGATGAAATGAGGGCTCAGACGACTAGAGAGACGGTGGTGGCACGCTTGCAACAAAGCAACAAGAACATCCTATAGGACATTTATGAGATCCTATGAGATGGCAGTCAAAGCCACAAAGAGAGAGTTCTATGCGGCCATGGTTGTGACTGCTAGCTCACGCCTGGCACAATTGTTTAGAACTATTCGGTCATTAACAGAGCTGCCCCAGGGCAGGCCAAATGCTAGGGAATTGGACATTGGCTGTGAGGCTTTTGTGAGCTATTTTGCAGATAAAGTCTTGCTGCTCCGTCACGATCTCCCAACCACAGTTGAGACAGTGAGCAAACTCGAGGCCCCATGCGCGTCTTCTTGTTCCATTCTGGATTAATTGAGTCCACTCAGCATTGAGGAAGTCAACAGATTGCTCTCAATGGTACGTCCAACCACGTGCAGCCTTGATCCGTGCCCTTCATGGCTTATAAAAGCTGGCCGTGAGGGGCTGCGAGGTGCCCTTAGGGATATTATCAACCAGTCCTTCGCTGAGGGGCTGTTCCCAGGGGCACTCAAGGAAGCAATGGTCCGCCCTCTCCTGAAAAAACCATCCTTGGACCTGGCTGAATTGGCCAACTATTGGCCGGTTTCCAATTTGCCCTATTTGGGCAAATTACTGGAGAGAGTGGCGGCGATTCAGTTGCAGAGCTTTATGGATGAAACTTCCATGATGGATGAAACTTCTGGCCAGGCCATGGGATGGAGACGGCACTGGTCACCCTCACAGACGACCTCCGGAGGCATCTGGATCGAGGCGGTACGGCGGCATTGGTGTTGTTGGATCTGTCGGTGGCATGCGACATGGCTGACCACCAGTTGCTGATCCACCACCTTGCCAACGCTGGGATTCAGGGGCTTGTCTTACAATGGCTCGTCTCCTTTCTCCAAGGTCGGGGACAGAGGGTGGCAGTTGGAGAGCAGACGTCCCAGAGGTACCCGTTGGTCTGTGCGGTCCCTCAAGGGGCAGTGTTATCCCCAATGTTATTTAACATCTACATGTGCCCCCTTGCCAAATAGCCCGGAGGCACAGGCTTGGGTGTCATCAATACGCCGATGACACCCAGCTATATCAGTCCAACTCTACCCTAGGTGACCTGGAGCAGGCGCTTCAGAACGTGGCGGGCTAGCTTAGGATGAGCCAATTTAAATTGAATTCAACGAAGACGGAGGTCTTGTGCCTGAGTTGAAGCAGCTCGGGGGTAGGGATCCCACTACTGACCTTCAATGGGGCGCCATTGGTGCCAGCGCCGAGGGTCAGGAGTCTGGGAGTGCTCCTGGATGCCACCTTAACAATGGAAGCTCAGGTAGCAGCTACTGCCAAGGCAGCCTTTTACCATCTATGGCTGATTAGGCAGTTGGTTCCCTTCCTCGAACACAATGACCTGGCAACAGTGATCCATGCTATGGTCACCTTGAGATTGGACTACTGCAATGCTCTCTACATGGGGCTGCCCTTGTCCCAAATCCAGAAGCTGCAGCTAGTGCAGAATGCAGCAACCAGGCTGTTGATGGGCCTCTCTATTCGAGAGCACATCCGGCCTGTGCTGAGGGAGCTGCACTGGCTGCCAATAGCATACCTGATTCGCTTCAAGGTGCTGGTTTTGACCTTTAAAGCCCTATATGGCCTGGGGCCTGCCTACCTGAGGGACCGCCTTTCCCCATATATACCCCAGAGAGCACTAAAGTCAGGGACTCATTTCATTGAGTGCCCACGAGTTCTTGTATTGTGACAAAGGGAGAAAAGTACTTCTTTCTCAACCTGTTCTATCCCATGCATCTATATATCTAAAACTGAACTGGCCCCCTCTGTGCAGATCCTTAGATCCGGACATCGGGGGCACTTGGGGGGGGAGGGAGAGGTTTGTGCACATGTGGGGGTTTGTGCACATGCTAAATGTTGAAAAAACTTTCAGGGAGATGTTTAAATCCCCCCCGAAAGTGCCAGAGTGTTCCGTGCGCATGCGCATGGAACGCTCTGCGACCTACCTGGCTTCCGTGTGCGGGAAAGGAACCAAACGGTCGGAAAGGCCCAGCAGCGGCGGCGGCGGGGAGAGCAGAGGCGCGGGCGACGCTACGAAGGGGGAAAGAGATAGAGAGAGAGAGAGAGACACGTGGGGGGAAGAGAGAGAATGGGGGAAAGACAGAGACGGGGGGAAGAGAGAGAACAGGGGGAAAGAGAGACTGGGGGGAAGAGAGAGAAGGGGGGAGAGAGAGAGACACAGAGAGAGAGAGACTGGGGGGGAAGAGAGAGACTGCCCCCCCATGAGTATCGCGGGTCCCCCCCTTGTAATCTTATAAACCTCAATTTTCTCTTGTAGTATTTAGATTATTCTTAAAATATAGTTTAAATATCATTTAAAATAATTTATTCTGATATTTTTACAAGGCTATGGAAGTAATCTTTTAAAAATCTAATTTACGCAATAGTCATTCACAACTTTCATGCTACTAGTTTTTTTGCCCAAAACACTGTGGAGCTTATAGGGGAACATTGTTCCACAGTAATGCAAACTACGCATGCCTGAGAAGAGAGACACCCTCCCCCCATGTTTGCAGCACTGAACAAAGTCAAAAAGTCAAGTTTGTTACACACGCCACTCCTGCAGTCAGTTGCACTTTGTGGGGGAAGGGATGATCCTCTCATTTCTGCCGCTGCGGCAGACTTTGCTAATTTTCCCCATCTCAAAGAAGTGACAGCAGTTGTAGCAGTGGCAGGTGTCTGCAGGACAAGACGTTCTTCTGATGTGGGGATGGGAGGCAAGACTAACATTTCATTAGCTGGTGCGACTGCCAGTTCAGTTGCAAAGCAAGAAGCTGTTCTGAATCCTCTGCTCATATCCTGTCTTCCTTCACTATAAGAGAGTTTCTAAAGTGCCAAATCCCAGCAGTATATTAATAGAAAAACCCCCCAAAAGGTCACAGTGCTGCTTTAGTCTTGATATATCTCAATGCCAGTTTAACTAGCCATGATGGGAAGCCTGTAGCTGCAACTGTATTTTAACTTTATAAAAACGTCAACTGATCAGGTCTGGAAAAAGATGGCATGACGACACAGAAAATGGTGGAAAGCAAAAAGGATGCTAACACCATTGCCTGGATTCTCCTCTAAAACTGTGTGGAGGAATGACGACAATACAAGATGGTTAGCGTTCTATTCACAGTAAAGAAAATAAAATGAGCACGGAGAGAATCCCCTTCACCATGGATCAGGCCCCTACCTGAAGCCTTGATGGCCCGCGTGGCTGCTGAGTGACCTATCTCCAGAGAGTGGATGAAGATCTCAGTCCTTGTCTCTCCTCCAAGGAAGGTGAGCTGTGAGGTTCAGGAAGGAAAGGATCATTATAGCATCTCCCTGGGATCCGAGACAGGCAAAACCTCATGAGGAACAACATTTCATAGGAAAAGAATAAAACCAGTGGGCAAAAAAGGTGTATGGTTTACAGAGGAGTGATGGCCAGAACTTTAGGCACACCAACCCTTTTCAGAGATCTCCTGCTGCAAATAGAAGGACCCAGATTCATGTGCTGCGGTAAGGAAGACCTCAGTGCTATATATAGATCAGGAAGGAGGAAGCCAGAAGCCATGTTGTGTGTGAGTAGCAGTTTCTTAGCTCGGACAGGAGCTCTGAAGATTGTACTGGAGGATATCTAATAAAAAGCCTCAAGTGCGCCTCCACTGGTAAGGCCAACAAGAAATGGAGTAATGATATAGTATAGTTGTTAAAGTATCCTGGAAAAGATCTGAGATACCTAGATTTGAATCCTCACTCTGCCACAGAAACTGGCTGGGAGAACTTGGGCCAGTCACTCTCTCTTATCCTAACTTACTTCAGAGGGCAAGGATAAAACAGGGAAAGGAGAAACATGTTAGCCACTCTGAACTACTTGGAAGAAGGGGCAGGATATAATGTAACAGATAAGATAGTGTCTCAGCAGACCTTTAAGTGGCTTGGCCTGTCCCATGAAGATCATGGCAGGAAGTTGCAGACCTTACCTCTGTCTGGTAGACCTGCAACAGCACAGGGTGGGTTGCAAAGCGACAGTAGTAAAGTATCATATCTGCAAGGATGGGGAGCTGCTCTGCTGCTTCTTCTGGGGGTTCACCCTCAGGCTTGATGGACTGCTACAGAAAGAGCAAAGGGTAGACAGTAACATCAACCCATTAACTCACCAGGGACCACTGGTGCTGAGCCATAGGCCAGAGGACTCAACTACATCTAACACCCAGTCCAGAAACCCTTCTCATTCCCATCCCCTTTAAGCACAACAAAGTCCCCCTCCCCCGATGCTACACTTCTGCCTGCCACATACATGGAATCCCCCATGAAAGCAAAGACACAGGGAACTGCCTTATACTGAATCAGATTGGCAGCAGCTCGCCAGGGTCTCAGTTCAGTTAGAGGTCCTTTCGCATCACCTAGCTCCTAAATCTTTTAACTGGAGAGGCCAGGGATTGAACCTGGGACCTTCTGCATGCCAACCACATGCTCTACCACTGAGCCACAACCCCACCAGTTTCCCTTGATATGCCCTTTGGTCCCAATGCACACTACAGCAATGTTGGTTGGCTAGTCAGAACATAAGAAGAGCCCTGTTGAATCAGAGCAGTGGTCCATTTAGTCCAACATCCTGTCTCACACAGTGGCCAACCAGTTCCTCTGGAGGTCCAACGACAGGGCATAAGAGGCAAAGGCCTTCCCCTGATTCCCATGATTACTGGCACTAGTAATCCATTGACTGTAGATAATAGGGAGCAGAAACAGCCTCCATGAACTCCATTGGACCAGGAGTTCTAGACCTTACAAAGAGAGCATCAGAGGTCATTTCGGGGGGGATCGCGGGGGATTGCAGTTCCCCCAGGTGAGGTACGGGGGCGGGGCACATGACGAAGCCCCGCCCTCTGCTTCCGGCCACCCCACTTCCGGCCCTTATTCAGCCAGGAGGAGGCAGGAGAAGAGGGAGGGTAAGTTGCTTCCTCCCTGCCTCTCCCCACCCCTGCCTGCCTGGGGCCAGGGAGGGCCTTCGCGGGGCTTCCTTGCACTCCTGCCGGCCTTGCAGGTCCACCGCCAAGCCCCTCATGGGGCTCGGCAGTGGAGCTGCAAAGCCGGTGGCAGCGGCCGGGACCGTTGGGGGCGGGGTGTGTGGCCTTATGACACACTTCCGGTGATGTCAGGGGGTGTGGCCTTATGCCACACTTCCGGTGATGTTAGGAGGTGTGACATATGCTAATGAGTTATGCTAATGAGTTCCCCTAGCTCTTTTTCTACGAAACGACCCCTGGAGAGCATGCATGCTGCACAATAGAAAATAGGCAGAATGAAGGAAGTACCTGGCATAGGACATCCATGGGAAGGTTCATTAGCCCAAGAACATTGCGCTCGTACCATGGATCCAGCATACCTAAATACTGGGAGATGTTGTTTGTGCTGCTCTCCATCCTGGCCAAAACAGGATCCTGAAGTCAAAAGAAACATACTCAATTAACAGCAGATTTGTTGCTGTTGAAGACGCTTATGCCTACTGTGTAGTAAACCCATATGCAAAGGTTAATATTTTGAAGCTGGAGTCTGGGAAGGAGAATCTGCAGGAGGCAAAATGGCTGTAGTGCCTCTGGACCTACACTGTACTACATTTAAATGAAACCATTCAGTTTTCTTCACAACAGGCTAGAATCCATTGTTTGAAGGATCTCTCTAAATTCAATTAGAACAAGTAGGAAGGTGCCCCAATTGCTCCAGTCCTCCCATGCTGTGAAATTGGCAGTCTTTCCCCCTCAAGATCAATACACATACCACTTAGAAACATGGCATATGTATGTAGAACTGGTGGTGGGTTTGGGGCCATGACCACATGGATGAGTCCAGCAGGAGGCACCCTCTTAATACCAATAGCTCATCATGAGACAGGTGAAGCTGCATAAACCAAGTAGATGCCAAACATCCAAAGTTTTCACAAATGTTGTCACTCAACATCAATTCCTCTTCTATGAAGCAGGAAAATGATGACCCAGGTACGTGTAAAGCTTACTGAATACAGGGTTGTAATGCTTGCCACACATATAAAAAGATGTTACAGAACATATATAAAGAGATGAGCTACTCTTTGTTTTCCAGATCACTCTGCCTTTTGAAACTTTATTCCCCCCCCCCTTCCATCATCCATCCCAAAGTAGTGGGTTCAAAGAAGCAGGCATGGATGGAAGAGGTTTCAGCAGGGCTTCTGTCACATCCATGCTGTTCCCCTTTTTTTTGATTTTCAGCCATAAGGCAAGAGGAGGACTCCATTATTTAGAAGAGTATCTACATAAGCAGAATTTTTGTCTCCCTAACCTAGATAGCCCAGCCCAGTCCAGCCCAGCCCAATCTTGTCAGATTTTGGAAGCTATACATACATACACAAAAGGAGAACACAGATGGAAAGCAAAGCAAAGCAGAGTTGGCCCTGGTTAGTATTTGGATGGGAGACGTCCAAGGAATACCATGCAGGGCTCAAAGCAGGTAGTGGGACCTGGAGCTTTTTGGCAATGGGGGGGATTTCCCCCTGTGAGTCTCCCAGCTCCCCACTGAGCTATAAGGGGGAAATCAGCAGTGATGGGGGGAAGGGATTACTCCCCCATGTATCATGGGTCCCCACTTGTATTTTCTAATAGCAAAGTCAGCCAAATCTGATATTTATTGGTTCTATTGCATTTTAACTGTGTAAGCCGCCTTGAGCCAGAGCTGCGCCAGCAAAGCAGGATATAAATTGAAATTAATAAATTAATAAATACCAGGGCTGTGACATGGATCCAGGCAATGGCAAATCACCTCTGGACCCTGCCAGGGTCGCTAGAAGTCAGATGCGATGACAGCAAAAAAGCCAACGGGAGAGTGATTGCCTCCCTAACCATATGAATGAGAACCCCAAAACAGCAGTCCATGTCATACCCATAAAAGTGCACTACTGTGGCTACACTTCAAGCAAGCAGATTTACCCCTGAAGGGTGTAGCCAACAAGCTCAACTAACAGAGCCTGTGCCACTCACAAAAGCAAATCATGCCTCTCAGCCTCCTGCTTCCCAAAATGCATACCACAGATCCTGAAATGTGGCACTGAGGGTCTCCTGGAGGAGGAGGAGAGCAGGTCAGTGTGGATGAGGTAGGACCACTCCTCTTTACAGGGACATAGTAAAATTGCATTTTGAAGTACCGGGTCAGCCACGGGCAGCTTCTTTCTTGAGATCTGCATTGAAGGAGTAAGGAGGGATAGGTAAGGAAAAGGTCAATTGAACCCACACCGCTGCCCCATGCTAGCAACAAAGCAAGGAGTGTAAAAAACGGCACAAGAAGGCATAATATTGTAGTCAGACATTCTGTCCACTCAGCAGTACTGTAGCACCATTTAAGGGACTGCTTTTTGTTACACCATGGCAGGAAAAGGTAACTAAACATTAGAGAAAGGGGAGCAGGATATGACATGACGAGTTCCAGAGTGAACCTCATCCTTTACCTCCTGATCCAAAGGAATGCAACAGAGAGTCTGAGTACACTATAAAAACCCCTGCATTTCAGCTGAGTATAGGACTCTGGAAAAGGGTATTCGCTATGACCAGTGTGTTCTCTTGACAAAACTCTGTTAACCTTTGCCCTGCTTCATTTTGCTTTCCAAGGCCAAACTTATCTGTTATTCCAGTTACCTTTTGACTTCCTACTTTAGCATTCACCCTTTTCCAACAACCTAAGAGGCGACTCTACACATGGACATCACCAGATGGGCAACACCAAAATCAGATTGACTATATAATTTGCAGTCAAAAATGGAGAAGCTCTATCCAGTCAGTAAAAACAAGACCTGGAACTGACTGTGGTTCAGATCATGAGCTACTCATAGCAAAATTCAGACTTAAACTGAAGAAAATTGGGAAAACCACGGGGCCATTCAGGTTTGACCTAGATCGCATCCCTGATGAATATACAGTAGAGGTGAAGAATAGATTCAAGGTTCTGGATTTGATAGATAGAGTGCCTGAAGAACTATGGACGGAGGTTCGTGACATTGTACAGGAGGCAGCAATCACCACCATCCCAAAGAAAAAGAAATGCAAGAAAGCAAAGTGGCTTTCTGATGAGGCTTTACAAATAGCAGAGGAAAGAAGGAAAGCGAAAGGCAATGGCGAAAAGGAAAGATTTACCCAACTGAACGCAGATTTCCAGAGAACAGCAAGGAGAGATAAGGAGGCCTTCCTGAATGAACAGTGCAAAGCAATAGAAGAAAACAATAGAATGGGAAGGACTAGAGATCTCTTCAAGAAAATTGGAGAAATCAAGGGAGCGTTCCATGCAAAGCTGGCCATGATAAAGGACAAAAACGGTAGGGACCTAACAGAAGCAGAAGAGATTAGGAAAA